CACGCACACACACATACGCACACACACACAGACACACACCCACACCGTCAGAATGTACATATGCCAGGCCCTTTGCTTTTGCGCTGCACAATCCTCTTAGCGCCAACCACTGAATTCGACATGTGGGCGCACCACCCCGAAACTATTTACGTTATTTGTAAACATGGACGGATCCAGAGGGGGCAGGGCAACGCGACTTCCGCCCTCCCCTTCCCCAGGGGCATAGATACCCGTGCTACAAAAGTCAGGGTATAAAGCTAAAACTGAAGAAAAATCCCTTCCGCACCCCACTTCGCCCCCTCCCCCTCCCCAGGAGTATCATTCTCCTCCTCGCCTTCTCCCTCCCCCTGGTCCCACCACTAGCTTCACTTCCCTCCCTCCTCTCCTCAGTTGTCGCTACGTCAAAAGTCTCGCTCTCCTCCCCCTTTGCTTATCGCCGGTAGAACCCCATTCGTCGCCCCTCCCCCGCCCACCCCAGGAAGCTGTATGTATATATGTGTGTGTGTGTGTGTGTGTGTCCAAGTGCATTTTGTCCCGCACTTTTAACTCCGGAACCAAAAAAGCTAGGAGGCTGAGATTTTAGCTGAATGTTTTCCGCCCAGTGCAAGCCCGCAAACTTAAACTCAATCTTCATCCCGGATACCACGTACGATCTCGCGAAAGTTTTGGTGGGAAAATTATTAATTCATGAACCACAAAAGCTGGGAAGCTGAAATTTTGGTAGGATATTCCCGGCCTATGTGCGACCCCTCAAATTCAAATTCAGCCTCCACCTACCCTCATGTACCACGTACGGTCCTATAAAGCTCTCGGCGGAGAAAATTACTGTCTTGGGGACCATGAAAGTTAGAAGGCTGGAAGACTGAGGTGCTGCCCATGTACCACCCCGCAAGTTCGGATTTAAATCCCACGTAAGCCAGGGTCTCACGTACGGACCCGTGAAAGTTTTGGTGGAAAAAACTGCTACCTCGGGAATGGGGAGAGTTAGGAGGCTGAGAACCTCAGCAGGGTGTTTTCAGATTAAACAAGGGCCTGACAAATTCAAATTCAGCTCCCAAATATGGCGAGATTTCACGTATGACCAGTGAAAGTTCTGCGGCTAAAGTTACTTGGAAGCCAGAGAATTAGGAGGTTGAAATTTTGGCACAATGTTTACCGTCCAAGGTTTCAAATTCAGTTTTCACATACGTTTATGTTTCACGTATCAGCACGTAAAATTTTTAATGAGAAATTTAACGACTATTTTTATCAATTACCAAACAACACATCGATTATTTTTGTAGACAAAAGTGTAAAGCAGTGGAAATCCTTAGCAGGCAAACGTCAGAATGCACAATCGCACCGGCTACGCTAGCGCGTGCCGTTAGCGTCCCACCATCACGGGATGTCCCCGCCCTACACAGACTGAAAACGCCTCCCCCCTCCTCCGCCCACCATGGGCTCATCTTTCGGCAACTACTACAACTCGGTCCGGCCGATACTCTGAAAGCGTCCTGGCTTCTCTGTTAACACTATTTCGGGCAATTACAAAAAGCTGGCTCGGCCCGGTCTGTGAACAGAAAGCGTTTTAGCGTCTTTGCTAATGCTGTTTCACGGCTTCAGTCGATGAGACTGCTTGGCACTTCGCCCACGGGTCAGGCAGCATTGTTTTACTGTACTGTAATTATCCACTCCTAATCCATATCTTCAATAACAAAACCATTTATCAAAAATCCCCCTTTCTTTTTCCCATCCATACCGTAGCCCAACCCTATACCCCCATGGGATTTTGTACAAACACAAAA